GAAGAAAGGACGAGAAAGGAAAGAGAAAGAAAAGGAGGAAAAGCAAAGAGGAAGGAAAGGAGGGAAATAAAGAGGGCAAAGAGATGGGGGGAGGGGGAGGCTCTTCCATCCCCCCCACTCCCCCAATCAAGCCTCCACCACACACACCCCACAGATCCCTCACTTACCCTGGAAGGCGGCGGGGGCATCTTCTGGCCTTCCCCCGGGCCGCAGCACTCCAGCACAGGCCCTGGGAAGGTGGCAACGGGCCTCCTCCGGCCTCCCCGGGGCCACAGCACTCCAGCGCGAGCCCAAGGAGGTGGCGAGGGGTCTCCGGCCTCCCTGGGGCCACAGCGCTCCAATGCGGGCCCTGTGAAGGTGGTGATGAGCCTCCTCCGGCCTTCCTGGGGCTCCAGCGCTCCAGCGCGAGCCCTGAGAGGCAGCGACAGGTCTCCTCCGGCCTCCCCGGGGCTGCAGCACTCCAGTGCAGGCCCCGGGAAGACAGCAACGGGCCTCCTCCAGCCTCCCCAGGGCCGCAGCACTCCAGCACAGGCCCCGGGAAGGTGGCAACAGGCGGGGAGCTGGGGGCAGGGCTTGCTGCCACCGCCATTTTGCCAGCTCCTGGGCTCCCAGAACAGTGCTCCAGCGCACTCCACCCGAAAAGATCCCTGGTTGCAGTGGCAGGTATAACCATGCTGCCCAAAATTTCCAAAGCAGATATATAGTAACTGATCTACCCATCTGCGTTCCATTCTTTGGGAGCATGCCCTGGTTTTGTCTGCTTGGGACTTCATGCTTGGATAACACTTGTGCAATATTCTGAATGTTCTAAAAGTGCTATAAAAGTAAGGATTTAACATGATTAGCACCTAATAATGTGTTCTTTAAAGTCTGCTTCACTCCCAATGGCTTTCCCTATGTTATAGAAAGGCCTCTGCTTTGTATTTTAACTTGTAGAGAGGATAATATTTTATGGCAAGAGATGGTGGGTCAGATCCAGACTAAACTGGCAGTCCACATCTGTTCCTCCTTCCCACTGCAGACGCGCTCATGTCTTTCTTCAGCTATATTCCAGGAACAGCATTTCATGGAGATCACTGAGAAGAGGGAGGCAGGGAAATTTATTCTGGATCCAACCCAGTGCCTGTAATATGCCTGTTTACTAAATGTGAAAGCAAAATGGTCAAGTAAACACTTATGTAGATTCTTTTGATAACTGAACTTGGATTTGACTTCAAAGGAGTTCTATGATTTAGATTAAACAAATTCAAATGAGAATAAATACCTATATTGATAAGAGTGTTTTGTTAACTTCTAAAATATAACTTCTTTTCAAAATATAACCCTTATAAATGCAGGTAGTTAAAAATCTTACAGATACAAAAAGACCATGAGAACTTGCTCATATTTACAGCATAATTGTAGAACTTTTATTAGTGTGAGCCCAATCACTTTCAGCATATATATTCGCTAATTGTATGGTGTTTTTTAACTGTTCTGTTGTCTCTTATGTCTTCTTGTCTGATGCCTTGAAATTCTGGAAAGGCAGGCTATCAATTTTTAATCAATTCAAAGCATGGTATTACAATAGTAATACTTACAAAGTGCCTAACTAAACTAGGTGTGGTATAAAAGCTTTAAAAATACTATATAACAAAGAATGTATTACTTCTTTCTATCCATAACAGTGAAAAAATCAGTGCGCCTTTGCTGCTGCCTTTCTGAAAACAATTGAGTAGCTCTATTATCATTTAAGTCTCTGAAATAGTTTCCGAAAGGAAAGCCAAATATATTTCTGACACAAATGCCAGATTTTTTCTGAATGCGAATATTTTTCTGCCATTGAAAAGCTGAAATAGCCAATTTATATAGTGCATAATAATGATATTAATTTTTATGGTGTGTATAAGTTAGATTTGATTAGTTTTTGCATGATTAAAATTTGCAAAGCCTTTATGGCCCCCAGGAGCCTACCTGTAATAAACAGCTCTCACCTTCGAAACCATAAAACAGGACTGCAGTACTTGAACATTAGATCTAATTGCCTTGCTACATCAAAGAAAGTACCAAAGGACTGCGAAAAATCACAGAAAGGAGGAGGGGGTGGAGGGCAGTTTCACCTCCAAAGGTTATATATTTGTGGCTTGGTGGAGCCCTGTAAAGCTATGGACTCCAAACTGCTGTTTGCGATTAAGTTGATGGGGAAAGTCTACCCGCAATCTTTCCCTGCTGCTGACACAGAGTCTTTGTTCACATTCAGATTTCTCAAACTGTTGCCAGGGTCAGGCTGAGGTCAGACACCATGATGATGTATAGGAGAACATGTCTGGGAATTTCTCTCATACTTAAAACACATACCAGAAAAAAGAGCACCCTGCAAAAATTGTCTGATGAAACCCAGATGATGATACTGTGGGTTTTATTTTACTATCTTCATGAGTGCTCTTTGCTTAACACACATACACACACACACACTCACACAATGTTTTATTAATGTTCACCATGACGTCTTTACGATTTTATGCCTCTTCAAGATAAGGACACTCAATATCACTGTGACACTTCATTTTCCTGCCTAAAGGGAATGGTGCTGGTAAATCAGAAAGAAAGGAAGGAAGGAAGGAGTGTCCATTCCAGAGGATGAGTTTAAAAAAGTGTCATAGGTTGCATAAGACTATGTGATCTGACTAGATGCTGTGTGTGTGTGTGTGTAAGACAGAGAGAGAAAGAGAGTGAATGAGTGTGCACTTGGCATTAATGAAGCCCAACCTAGTCATGATCACAGGCTCACAGCATCCCGAACTGTGATCCCCCATCACCCTTAACAAACACAGCCTTGCTTCCAGCTGTGACTAGATAGCATACAGTGTTTGATTAGTAATATCACAGAGAGAGGGGGAGAGGGAAAAAAGCTTGCAAAAGCAGTAAGAATTATGTGTTTTATGTTACTTGCTCATTGCCACATCTTTTTTAAAAAGTATTTCTCTTTCCTGGAACTATTGATTTAAAGTAACTATTGAAACCAAGCTTTACAACACAGGATACATGAAAAAAAAGCAGAACATTCTGATCAGCTTTTAAAATCAAGTAGCAGTGAACATTTTGGAGGAGTTGTTGGGGGGGAGAGTTCGATATTGTTCATTTCAATTGTTTACCTATGCATACAGCTCCACTGCAGAGTTGGCGAGAAAGGCACTAAGTAGCAATTTTTCTGTGCTCAGCTGCTCCATATGACAGAGAATATTTCATTCTGCTGTCAGAATGTTATTAATAAAACATGGGGTGCGGAAGGGGCCACGATTTCCCCTTTCAATCACTATAGCATTTACAATGAAAATTTTATGCAGTGTGTAATTTTCAGTTAATGCTTGACACTTAGAATGCCAGTAGCTGCATTTTGTATGGATCTTGAAGGGTTAATTGTATCATGTTCCCCTGTGTAAAAGCTCTGCTTATCAAAAGTGAATAGTGAAGTGTATGCAAATGCATGTATGTGACCTTTTGCCTTTCCAGGGTTAATTTATATGATCATTAAAGATTTTATGAAATTGAGCAGCCTGGTGTTTTGAATCCCATTTTACCTTCCCCTCTAATTTATATAATTCCTACCTGAACTGGGAAATGTGACATTCTTTTGTTGTTGTTGTTGTTGTTTGTATAGCAATGAAAACAGCATGCTGTGCTGTAGGGAGTTGCAAGTCTGGTTATCTGGCATTACTCAGATTGCTAAAATTCATTAAAATGTGACATCAGCACAGTCAGAGACAAATGATCACAAGATGAAAAGGAACAGTAGGCCTTTCACGGATTAGTGCTACATCGCCCCAGCATTGAAGCTAACTGCATAAACAGACTAATCCACTAGTAGCAGCATAGATAAAAATTACAGAATAATTAAATTGGGTTGAATTACTGTGAAGATTTTCATGTAATCTAGCTGGTGTGAACATGTAAGGGAGGTGTGGATATTGCAGCCTCCTCTGAAGCAATATACCAAGTTGTATCATTTACCTTGCATGGCTCCCCCTGGATAAGAAAACAGAGTTCTCAAGGTTTAGAACCAACACAGCATTTACAAGTTGCAATTAGAAGGATATGCAGAATATAACAGGATTTATTTTTGAGAAGTTTTCTTTGCTTTCAAATATATTGCTACAAGTGCTTTCATTTGTTAAAAACTGTGTACCTTTTTTCTTGACAAATAATGTCTAACAACACACAGAAAACAAGAAACATATGATCTGTCACACTGGTTAGCAACATATGTTCTGATAGAGTAATGTTTGTAATCTTAAATTTTGAAAATAATTATTAATTTCAGATCTCTTTAAAATGCCATTCTTTTTCACTCATTCCTTTATTATTTTAGCATCTTGTTAAATTTAGTGCTGCTCTTATTAAACATCATGTTTACAATTGATGTTGAATGGTCCCTAAGTTAGCTTTTTTATTTTTTATGCTCATTCACAGAAGAACAAGTTGAAGATGCAGAAGGGTCTGCTAAAAGCTCATCAGTGTCTGTTGATGATAAAGACACGTGTGAGAAAGAGGGAAATAATAGTGAAGGCAAAAAAACTAGTAAAGACTCTGGTAAGATGCTAGAATTTTGTCACTCTTAAAAATCTTATTAAATAGTCTTTCATTTAAAACTGTCTGGGCAGTCTTATTATCTATTGCATGTGTATTTTGCATGTGATTTCTATCAGTAGCCTCCCATTGACCTATTTTTAATCATAACCATCTGACAGGATAGATGCGGATAAGTTGAAGAATATTACAGGACGACTAGTAAGATTATTTTTTAATCAAATCAGTTTGTGTGCTTGTAATTTTTAAGCGCCTTTCATTAATCTTAGCTGTACTTGTGATTCCTCTGATGGCATATTAATTTTTCATAAGCATAGGATTAGATGCCACTGAATTTTTTCACCATGCTTTTAAATTCTGTTCCCCCTGCAGCCCTAAGAATGCAAGAATGCTTTTCTCTCTCCCCCTGCCATTCCCCTCCCGTCCTTGATATATGATTGCTTACATTCAGGAATCTTCCTTCTTCCTGGGCATTTATCTGTGGTATTTAGTGGGGGGGGGGATACAGAAAATCGGGTAGAAAAGTTTACAGATGATTCTGCCTAAGAAAAGAGGAAATATCATTGAAAACGGATTATGAGTTGAGTAATATTGATCTCTGGGAATATACCAAGTCCAGTAATGAAAGCTACTGTCTTTTTGAAAACAAAAACTCCTAGGTCATGACATTTACTTGTGCACAAACAAACCTAAGGCCAGCATCTGGCATGGATACACAAGGCTTTTTCTGTGTTTGATTTGGCAAATGTGTGACTTCATCCATGCTTTTTTATGTATGAGATGGAAATCTATGGTCACAATGAATATTACATTGGCTACTTTTGTTGCACGCTATTCCTAGTTACATTATGCTGAATTCATTCAAGCAGAAGAAGTGCTGAAACAGGCTGAAGCCTATTAGTTTTAGGTAGTCATATATCTTTTCCTTGTATCCCAATGACAGCAGCATATAGAAGAGCTTGTATTCCCCATAAAAACATTTAGTTATACAGAAAATATCATTTTCCATGCAAGTTTACTTAAATATGAATTAGTCTAGATTTGTAAAGATATTTGTAAAAATATTTTTTTAAACAAAACAAAATCCTAAAATATTGGTGGTTCTTGATGCCAAATTTATGTAAAATATAAATGTATTTATTTATTTAGAAGATAGGTTTAAGGTTTAACCACCTCTTGTGTTTAACCACCTCTTGGGTATCTGAAGAAGTGAGTAGTGACTCATGAAAGCTCATACCCTGCCACATATTTTGTTAGTCTTTAAGGTGCTACTGAACCTTTCTCTTTCCTACCCCCTCTTGTGCATGTTTATCAACATGAGGAGCTCAGTATTTTTTACTGCTAAGAAACTCCTGTTACAGTGTTGTTATCTTGCTTTTAAGTTCAAGAGACTGAAGAAGAACTGTTTGTGACAAAGTTCTATCTGCAGGGTTCCTTTAAAATGTGCCTTTCTTGGAAAGATGATGTCTGAAAAGAACTACAGGGTAAAAAACACCCTGCTCAGGTGCATCACTAGGCCATTATAGAAACATTCCAATGGAAAAATCAGACGAACCCACTTGAAACATCTGAATGTCCATGTGATTTATAAATCGAATCTTGGAATATATTTCAGAGAATTCACCTACATAATTTTTCTAATTTGAATTCCTAATGGACCACCAGGCAAAAAATGGTGGTCTTCAGTGCAAATAGTATACGGGAAGTCACAATATTGAATAAGGATTGGCCTTTTAAAAGAACAGGTTCATTTAGGACTAACTAATGCCAGGATGCTTGCTGAGTGTACTACAAGAAAAACAGAATGAGATTTTTTTAAAAAATGGCATTAAGATACATTTAAAAAAATAGATGCTGAAGGCAAACATTGCTGCTTTTGCAGCAAGCTCTGACAATATTTCTTATTTCAAATTGACCTTTTAAATCCTTTGAAAGAATTCTCTAAATTCTGCATATGAAGCATTCATTTTATGGGCTTAATTCTCAACAGACTTGACAACTAGTCCTAATGACTGCATAACTGCTTGTGTATAACTGAATGTTCATTTGGACTTTCTTTTCCTGAGTTAAGTGTTACAAGCCTTCCCAAAGAAGTTCCAGAAAAAAACCATACATTAATCCTAGCCAGGTCAGATTTGGTGACAATTTGTTCCTTCAGATCAATGGTACAGCCATGGACACCTGCATGGCCCCACAGTATGCTAATATCTTTATGGCTGACTTGGAGCAACACTTCCTAAACTCCCACTAATACTTATCTTATACCTGTGATGCATTGATGACATTTTTATTGTATGGACATGTGGTAAAGAAGCCCTGGACATATTCCACCAGGCATTCAGCGGCTTTCACAGCACCATCAACCTGACAATTAACCAATCTATGCAAGAAATATATTTTCCGAATACTATAAAAATACATGATGGATGTATAGACACCACCGTATACCAGAAACCTACTGACCGACAAACATACCTACATGCCTCCAACTACCATCCTAAACATACGAAACAATCCTTTCTATACAGCTAGGTGCTATGCAACAGCCGCATCTGTGTCAATCCTACAGACAGTGATTCTCACCTGAGGGATCTACAGCAAACCTTTTTGGAACTAAAGTATCCACCTGATGAAGTCAAGAAACAGATTAACAAAGCCAGAATTGTGCCCAGAGATAATCTGTTGCAATACAGGCCCAAAAGAGACAATAACAAAACTTCCTTAATGCTCATATCTCAACTCAACTCAAAACAGTTCAATACCTCATCAACAACTTACAACCTCAACTGGATAATGATAGTTCTGTTTCACAAGTACTGGAGAAACAAATCTTTCTTGCTCACAGACAGTCCTCCAATCTCAAACAAATCCTCACCCACTATAATACCTCTACTTTGAACATGGACACTGGTACCCAGATGCCAACTTTGCTGCCACATACACCTAGACAACACAATCCCTGGACCTAACAACATCAACTACACCATCTCAGGGTTATTCATATGCTCATCTTCTAACACTGTATATGCCATTAAATGTCAACAATGTTCTTCTGCTCTCTACAAAGGGCAAACAGGTCAAATCCTACGCCAAAGGATAAATGGACACACTGAGAAACCTGTAGAACATGTTAACTTTCCAGGACATTCAATGGGTGACCTCAAAGTAGCTGTATTGTTGCAAAGGAACTTCAGGAACAGACTAGAAAGGGAAATTGCTGTGTTACAATTTATTACAACACAGAGAACAGTGGAATCCCTAGGACATAGTAAGGATATTGGTTTCTTATCTCACTACATATGCTAACCTCATTCAGCCCTTACATCTGTATTCTCACCAATCGCCCAGAAGGGCCATAAAGGTAAAGGTTCCCTTGCTCGAAAGCCAGTCGAATCCGACTCTAGGGTTCCGGTGCTCATCTCCGTTTCAAAGCCGAAGAGCCAGCGCTGTCCGAAGACGTTTCCGTGGTCATGTGGCCGGCATGACTGAACACCAAGGCGCACAGAACGCTGTTACCTTCCCACTGAAGTGGTACCTATTTATCTACTTGCAATTTCTTGCTTTCGAACTGCTAGGTTGGCAGGAGCTGGAACTAGAGACGGGAGCTCACTCCGTCATGCGGCAACTCGGGTCTCAAACTGCTGAACTACTGACTTTCCACAGCCTGCAGTTCAGTGTCTTAACCACTTGAGCCATTTTTATTTTATTTTATTTTATCTGTAATAGATTAGAATAGTAGATCGTAATGTAATGAATAGTCGATTGTAATGTAATTTGGAATGGTAAATTGGAATGTATTTCTCTGGTCTGGGAACAGGGGAGGTAACTCTACACAGCCACATCAAAGAAGCAGATGCTGTAAGGTCGCCTTCATGCTTGAGAGGAGATGGATACAGCATAATGGCATGGTTCATTACAGTCAGCATTCCACAATTAAGGATACATCTTCCCAGCAATCTCCAGTTTTGACATATTTATTTCCTTCACTATGTTTTCCCCGGAATTAAACCCAAACAAATGGTAACCATATAAACTAAGCTTGTTATTCCTGTTTGGTCCTTGCATCTGTTAAACATCATTATGTTGTATGCTAATTTACTGCTCACCATACCTATATGTATGGACTGGTAATTTCCATTTCATTGTATCTGAAGATACAGACTCCTTGAATAGAGCGAATAATAGAAAAACGCCAACTTACACTAAATTTGTTCAGGATATGGGCCCCAGTGCTTGAATACATGGTAACGAACGATATACTTCCAGCAAAGCAAATATATCATAAGTGGCTATATTTATAGTTCACTTTCAGTGTATACAAATAAGATAACTCATGATCCACAAGATTACCAACTCACAGAAATACACCCGTGCTGTATAATATTATGACTATCTGTAAGTTATTAACTTAATCACAACATACAGAAACTACGACTTATTGTGTTCATTTGTATTTTGTAAATCCTTTAGCAAAACCAATAAAAATATTTACATAAAAAAGAAAAAGTGTGTGTGCACATAAAAGCTTATACCTTGAATAAAACTTTGTTGGTCTTAAAGGTGCCACTGGACTCAAACTTTGTTCTGCTGCTTCAGACCCAACATGGCTACCCACCTGAACAAGTTAGACAGAAAAGTGCTGTCACCAGTGTTCCCTCTAAGCTGAGTTAGTGTGAGCTAGCTCACAGTTTTTTAGTCTCCAGCTCACACATTTTTGTCTCAGCTCAGGAAGGATGGCTCCAGAGCAAACTAACTGATGCAGCAGCCAAACTGCCGGCTCACAACTTTCATGCTCACAAAGTAGATTTTTTGCTCCCAAGACTCCACAGGTTAGAGGGAGCATTGGCTGTCACCCCTTTTTAGTATTTAATCCATTAAAAATGAAAGGATTAACATGTTTAGTGCACATACATTTATGTAAACTGTTTTTCTCCACTGCCTTCCTTATCACAGACTGAGACTTTCAAAAGGAAACTTGGCAATAAGCAAGCTATGTTTTTTGA